GTGACTGGAGAGAATATATACAGCCACGAACGACGCAACTCCCTCGCCCTCTCTCCCTCCCCTCTCAAGACACCTTGCTATACCCACTCGGAACGCAGCCAACATGTAAACACTCACGGTAGTGCGTAGAATTTACTATGAAACTCAGCTCAGGAATACGGTCACATGTACAGAAACGACCAGAACAGAAAACACACGCGCACACACACACACAGTAAGCATAAAAAAGCGAACAGGTAAAATAGAGTGGTTCCGTAAGCCTCTAAAAACCCAAACATGCTTTGGTACTTACGGTTCCTTCTATCTCCCCCCTCCCGTATCCCTACCCCTACCCCGCCCATTCCACCACTACCTCCTAGAGTCACACCCCTCAGAAACATACCATCTCCTTTTCAGCCTATTTACCTGTTGTCAAGTACTCAGATGAGAAGGGAGGGAGAGAGAGAATCCGAAATAACCACAACGCAATCCCCAAACAAAAAGAAAAAACACACGACACCCCACATAACTGATCACATTAGAGAAACAAATATCTAAAATCAACAACAAAATAACGCAAGACCGCCCTCACTCTCCCCCCAATCTAAAAAAAAGCGAAACACGGTCCGCCACAGCAGACGACGACGACGATGACGACATCCCCAACGTGGTTCCCCCATCGGCCGGTCTCGCTGTCGCTCCACGTGGCCCGGCGCGCTGGGGTGAGGCCACACTTGCATCACGTGGAGAGCCGACACACTTGAAACGAGAGAAAACTCCACTCGCGGAAAAGGGGCAAGGGAGTGCGGGGCCATAGTGCGTAAGGAGAGGGAGATAAACAAAGGAGAAGTAGGGTAGGAGGAAGAGAAAGAAAGGAGACCTGAAAGAAAGAAAAGAGGAGAGACGAGAAGGGAAGGAGAGAGGAGAGGATAGGAGAGGGGGAGAAGAAAAGGCCCAAGTGCGTAAGGAGAGGGAGATAAACAAAGGAGAAGTAGGGTAGGAGGAAGAGAAAGAAAGGAGACCTGAAAGAAAGAAAAGAGGAGAGACGAGAAGGAAAGGAGAGAGGAGAGGATAGGAGAGGGGGAGAAGAAACAAGAAAATGGAGAGGAGGAAAAATAAATAATAATGAGAAAATAATAGGATAAATAGAGAAACGAAAATATGGAAGATGGGAGAAGTCAAAGACGAGAGAAGAAGAAAAAGCGGAAAAGAAAACAGGAAAAAATCGGCAAACAGGCAATTTCTACAGGAATATCCCCCTTCCAGACACTACAGAGAGAACCATAAAAGACACGAAACAACAACCTTGGTTATGAAAAATTCAGCCTAGAATGAATGACTAAGTTCTCCAACCAGCTTTGCTCCACGCTTATTGTCAACACAAAAAGGGACACTGCCCTGGACTACAAACACGGGATAATAGCAGTTTTTTTTCTATAGGTTCCCATTTGAATACGAGAAACATAACTGGTAAAGGTTTTCATGACATTTCTTTCGAATGTTGGTCTATTTCCGTTTCCACACATTCATGTCATGCAAATTGGTACGTAATGCAGCAGTGAAGACTGTCAAGTGTACAGATTATGTGACACTTTGACCTCTTTAACCAAATATGCTTGTAATCTCTTCAAGTGCCATTTCAGGTGTTAAATCACTTCTACTTCTATTGGAGGAGGAGGAGGAGACAACAAAGATGATATAGAGATAGGTATAGCATGCACACACTAGTTCAACATGTTACTTTCTTACCAGAGGGTGCACACCTTGTCACCAGTGCTCATGACAGCATTCCCTGGCTTGCAATACGTTCTGAATTACTAAGAAATCTCACAAATGATACTCTGCACACGTGAATCAATCAGTATGCAAACCTGTCAACAGACGCTCAACTTCAGAAGGAATAGCAACATGTTAACAACAGGAACTCTGCACACGGCCTCTCTCTTACACAACTTATCACGGAGAGACTATCAATTGATAATATTCGTAATGGTTAAAGTTAATTCATTAAAGCTTTAGAATTCAAGAGGGCATAGACAAGAAGAGAAGACTCCCAAATTGACAAAAATTGTTGGAATCTGACAAAAGTATTGGCACCACAAATAAGCAAGCACCATAAAAGGGCAGAATATGAACAACTGAATTAATTTTACTGCATTTGCAAGTCATGAGGATTGACACTCATAACAACTATTTAATTCAACTGTCTAGGCATTACAAAATTGTACATCAGCCATCATCCGCAGCAAGAACAAGCCAGTGACAGAGTGATGTGGTTGGAAGAAAAGCACTCGCTCATGGCAAAGGATATCCAACGCCAGACAAGAAATCTCGTCTCCCATCACAGGCTTAGCAACGACACCCACGCCAGGAATTACATACTATGTAACTTTATGCACACTGAAAGCACCACTTGTGTACTGATGAGGACCTTCACTTTCCTCCGAGACTCAGAATTCATACCAATGCCCTGCCATACCCCATTAATAATTTATGTTGCATGCTATTACCTACCTGGGGAAAAAATTACCATGTGCCAAAAGAAGCAATATTTAAAGAGACAAACATCAAGGTGAGAGTAATGCAGTACCCTATAATTTTCAATTGCTTAATATACTTTATATAAATTGTAATTATTGTAATTATGAGATGCTTTTGAAAATGTTAATTTGACTCTGCACCTTCTGGCAATTTAACTTTTGCCAAATGATCAGCTCTTGCATCAATATAATTCATCATACACTATTCAATACCAACACTGCAAAACCAAAACAATGCAACCACTTTACCGATCAAACGAGTTCATGCAAAATAACTTGACGTTCGGTGACTTTTCTCCAAGGAGCACTAAATACATCAAGAACCCACACACTACATTCTACCTTTGCAGAATATGGCCATGCACAAAATGCCGATAATATTTCCAAGGCTTTCCCAGGCATGCGGGATCGTCTCTAATCAAGATTCCTATACTAGGACTTACTACCTCCCCCATCCACCCCCCCTTATTCCTACCATCACAAACGTATCTTGACTTTTTGCATCTCAATAAAGCTCTTATTCTGTACTTGGCAGCTGTCACACTCAATGCAAATTTATGGCTGTTACCTTCTATTCATAGCCTCATCTACATGCAAAATACAAACCCTCCTGTGAGGGACATTAATTTCCAAATCACACCCTTTAATCTTATGCAGAACTATATAATAAGCAAACCTGTATAACAAACACACCATGTGCCTTCTTTGTGACCGATGAGAGGGTAAGAAGCAAGTTACTAAACCTCCCAACACAGTGCATATTTCCTTGAAACTGAACAATGCATTAAAACACAATATTATGCTAAATATACCCATGACTTGGGATTCTACAGCTTAGGGGATATTGTCATTCTCTAATTCTCAAAGTCTAGGGACTTAACCACCAACACTTCCAGCTTTATGCCATTTACCTTGATGCTTCTTAAAGGCATTGAAGTTAAACAAGACATTAGCATATCAAAATACCAAAGAACAGCTGTATGGCCATGAGGCAACAATGACCAATTTCTCTCATTCTACCATATTTCAACGGGCATGCCAGAATCCCTCACAATTCCCCCCCCCCTCTCTCTCTCTCATTTTTCTATTTCATCAATTCAACTCATCTTCTCACTCACAATTTCCTCCCCATTTCCATCAACTAAATATAAAAGAAATTAGGCAGACATGACAAAACCCATTTCCAGCCCCCTCTGCCATGTGCTTATGATTCATGCAAGTCCTCATTAAGTGAAGCAAATATCCACCCCCCCCTCTCTCTATCAATTAATCAATTCCCACGACTATCATTAACATTATAATTAATCAAGAGAGAGAGAGAGAGAGAAACACACCCATAACAAACAAGCAGATGTTAACACTCCCCTTTCTAGAAAAAGAAAGAAAGAAGAAGAAGAAAAAAAGATCTATGCTTAAAACATACCATATTGAAATAATAAATCACCAAAAAGCAAATATCAATACCACATGTGCTCGACCCAGACTAAAAAATCTAAAAAAAAATCTAAAAAAACAACATTTACATCCCCCAATTAACAAATTTCCTAAAAATAGAAGAAGAAAAATAATAAATAAAAAACATTTACATCCCCTCAATTAACATAAATTACGCGATTTTCCCCCCCAACGCCTCGGAAACACGTGTCTCTCAAACGATCTATTTTAAATCACCGTAACAACTTTCCCAAGTCCTTTAACATACTCTTTAAGTGATAAACGGATACAAAATAAAGGTAATAGATAATAGATAATGCCTTTACCCTGATTTTCCCTCGAAATATGTATATTAATTCCCAACTCTAAACCACAATACGAAATGTCCCTTTAAATATGAACATTTTCGGCCAGATTAAACAAAATTAAAAGGAGATAACACGACTCAAACTCCTTAGATAAACACAAATAACAAAAAATAAACCAGTATATTTTTCATCATTTTTATTTCTACTTTATTTTTAAGACGTCACATGTTCGAGGGGGACGGGACTCCATGCGTTTCCTGTTCGGGTTGCTATTTTTTGCCTATTTTCCCCCTTATTTCTCGTCTCTAGCTTGGTATTTTAGTCTTTCCCGGCGATTTTTATGCGGATGCTTTCATAAATTCGCATGAAAAATGGATGTTTTTCCTTTTTTTCGCTTTTTTCTCCAACAAAGCGATTTCTGAGAGATCGAGAGAATTGGTCATATTACTTCATTTATTTTCTATTTTGGCACGTTATTTCGGCGATGTATTTTTTTCCCGTCTCCCGGCGTTCGTTCCCTTCCAGAATATGAGCGGCTCTCGAGAAAAAACAAAACTCGAGGAGAAATTTTAAAAAAAGGAGAGAAATTTACACCCATTCGGTTCTCCTTCAAAACCACGTTGGGACAAGGTAGTCGCCATCGTCCCCACTTCTCTCGCGTTTTTTGACCAACTCCCCGCTTGTTTCCGATAAATTTCTCACTCAAATGATCCGCCGGAGGTTTATTAATCGCACTCACCTCGGCCTGCTGTCTGATCTTGTTGTCGACGCTCAATAATCCCGTTAAGAGCTGCTGGAATTGTTCCTGATCGCCCGCCATTTTCGCCGGGACGAGACAGCCGAGCGACTGTTCCAACACTGAGCTCGACTCCTCCACTCCGATGGATTATATGCTCTCGCCTCCTCGTCTGGTTCTCTCGACTCGGGGGAAAAATCACTTTTGAGGGTTTTATTTCAAAGGTTGTCTTAATATTGGAAAAGTGGTGGTGTTTTTTGTAGGCGGAGGGAAAAGTTGAATTTTTTAAGATACTTTCTATTGTTTTTTAAGATTATGAGACGTTTTCCTTCTCTTTTCCCGCGCTTTTGGGATTTTGAAAAGAGTCCGAGAAGTCGCGGATGAGAAGTTCTCGTCTGAAAGAACACGGACTGAGAGACGATCCCACTCGCTAGCGTCTCGACCTGGTTTCAGAGGCGTCCGAGAAGTCGCGACTAGGAGATCCCCGTCCACAAAAAAAACACGGGCCGAGAAACGATCCCACCACTCGGCCTCTCGGACTACCTCCAGAGTAGTCCGAGAAGTCGCACATGGGGTGTACCTCCGCCCGAAAACTCACGAGCAGGAGACGATCTCAAATCCTAGCCTCCCGGATTGTTGACATTCGTATCTCATTCTCCCGCGCTTTTTGGGGTCTCAAAGGAGTCCGAGAAGTCGCGAATGTGTGAAATCGCCGTCCGAAAAGGCACATCCGGGAGACGATCCCACTCTCCGATCCCTCGGACTGTTGACATTTAGATGGTGTTTTTCGCGCGTAAAATTCTGCTTCTTTCGATTTTCCTTTTGGATTTTTCGCCTTTTCGCCATGGATGCTGACGGGGACGCAGGTGAGGAAGCTGGCAAATAAACTAATAAATGGCCAGGACTTACGGAAAAATAAATTCTAAAGGCTAAGATTGACAGAAACTGGAAAAAAATGGAAGTAAATAAGGGAAGGCTCCAAACCGAGCAGCAAGTTCTGACAAGTGATATTACGAGTATTATAATTGCATAATTGAAATATAATTACAACAGAGTTTATAACCATCACAGGTTTCTGTTAAGGGTCTTACTAATACGCTGAAAATGTTGAAGGATTTAGGATTCCGGTAAAATCTCACTGCAGTTGTCGTCTTCAGGGATTGAGATTTTTCAACATCTTTTATGAATTATTTCCTTGCAAAATTTTAGTTAAGGGTTTTTCTGAATAGACGTACTACTATTATGTGTATTTTTAAATTCAGAAATGTTAAAAGGCCATTTTTTATTATTATTTTTTTTAAGCAGGAGAGCTTAGTGTGTTTTGTACCAGTAGATCTAGTAACAATGGCATGGTAAGGTAATAATTCTCTCTCAGGTAGACACACTCTCTTGCTGATTAAACCCATAAGTGATGACCTAGCTTAACGCATTTTGACATTTCAACCTAAACATTTTCATGGTTAATGTCCCCGAGGACGACGCATAGAGGTGAAGGGAAATGGACGCTTCCGCCTTATAGAGGATAATATATAGAGTAATGAGCTGCAGTGGCCTTGTATTTACAGCAAAATGATAAAGTATCTGTTGCATATCATTGCAACGCCTTCACACGGTTCTTAATGTCTTGTTTTCTGTAAGTTGGCATAAAGTGCTAATATTGGGGGGGGGGGCCTTCTAGGGAATAAATATAAGGCATGAAAGATTAGGTTTGGACGTTTTTGTTATTGTTTTGTTATTGGAGGTGATGGTAATATAAGTATTAATGAAAGGCATAAAAATATGAATTATATATCTGTGTAATGACAGCCCTAAGATGGGGAAATCTAAGGACATTATTAGAAAGAGGTAAAATATACAGGATACCTTCCCATGAATATGACAATAGTGGGATTTCTCTTTATTCTCTACCTTTATTCTCTTTCTCTTTATTCTCTATTCTCTCTACTACCCATGTGTATAGAAAATAATCCCACCGACACCTTCCCCTGATAGAAAGGGGGGGGTATGGATACTTCCAACCACGGGGGTCCCTCATGACGAACCTCCAGGCATGCCCTCGGCCCATCTCATGACAGGTCCGTTCGAGTTGCATAAGCTATGACCTAGGTCGTCCTATGGGCCTCTTCCATCCTGGATTGTATTCATGTAACATTATTAGTATTTTACCCTGCAGTTTCTGTGGTACCTTTCATGCCCTTCCCTGCTATTGTGGCCAATTATGTGGTGGTTAAGGGGTCTCCATGGCAAATGTCCTACATATATGGTAGTAGAGGGATAGGGGAATGCGTTGATACCACCGATGTTGTGGTGTGTCCTGCAAAGGTATTCAAAACAATTACCCAAAAAGGGGAAAAGCTGCATTAGGATTGTAAGCTGGAGTAGTAAGGTCTCAGAAGGGTCACTTTGTAAACAGTTAACAAAAATAAAAATTAATGTTTTAAAGATATTATTATATTTTTCTCAGAACAATGTTGTTCTATCCATATCCACTTGAAACCTACTGTGATCTTTGGTGTAATTACAAAAAATCTGAAGTTTACCTGAAGGATAGCAAAATGTCAGGCTGTCCCCTTAGTAACTGCACTCTGGCAATGGGTAGAAAAGCTTGAATTGGTTTTCTGTTGTGATGTGTTGTTGGTGGTGGAAATGTAACACTAATAATGAAGTTAAAAAACCTCTCTGTACAAAAAGTAGTGTGGGGGGGGCCTGTTACAGAACCTCCTATTTCTTTTTTTATTTTTTATTTGTTCTTACTACGATTTTGTTCAATATCATTGTTATTATCTGAATTCAATACCCATCATTTTCCAGCATCTCCATCGGCTGCAGACAGCTTGGCAACTTCTCGTTCCAAGCGATCTCGCAAAGACAAGCATGGACGATTAGCAGCGCTTGAGAAACTACGAGAGCTGAAGGGGTCCAAAAATAAATATGAAGTAAGCAATATGATGGAGTGCAAAGTGTAATTGGCAAATACTACGATTTTGTTCAATATCATTGTTATTATCTGAATTCAATACCCATCATTTTCCAGCATCTCCATCGGCTGCAGACAAGGCTGAGAAACTACGAGAGCTGAAGGGGTCCAAAAATAAATATGAAGTAAGCAATATGATGGAGTGCAAAGTGTAATTGGCAATATAGAGATTTTTTAGACGAAGGATACATTTATGTCATAATTTGTTTAATTCCTTTTTAGGTTTTATTTTATTTTTTACAATTATACTAATGAAAATGAAGTATATTCTATTCATAGTTCTAACCACAAATTTTAGTGTATGATTTTCATTATTCTTCATTTCAATTTTTGAATTGGTGATAGTTTGAATTTAACATGAGGGACCAGAACCATATTGCATTCTCATGGAATTCATACAACTGTTCTTATTTTTAGTTTTAGTGTTATAGTCAGTAGCTTTTATGCTACTTTTATTTTCATTGTTAATATTTGTTATCTTTAATATAGTGGTCTTGTTCTTGTCATGTGTGTGTCACCAGTGAGTATTGTTTTTATATTTCTTTATTCTCTCCATATCTCACTGCCATTTTTCTTAGTAAGCTAGATTTACGTCCACTATTCTATTCATTGATATTCCTCCTCTGAGTTTCATGCTTGCATCTCCAGGTCTCGGAACTAGTAAATGTGTACGAGGAAGTTGATGAACGGGAGTACTCTCAGAGACGTCAGGATCGCCTCGAAGATGATTGGATTGTTGATGATGGTGAGTAGGAGCATTAATCAGAGATTTTGAAAAAAAAAAAAAAAGAAAAAAAAATGATTAGATATGATTGGTTTTACAAGGTTATGTTACAATAATGATTTCTTGTATTGTAATCGTAATGAATGTAATTCAGTTGCAGATACAGTAATCTAAAAGCCTGTTGCTCGTATTGTCTTCTAACATTGTTGATTCTCATTTGCATCTTTTTGTCTTAAGTGATGAAAATGGCTTTATTTCCTGTGCTATCAAAGAGGTGCTAGATTTATTATCCTCTTGTAGATACAAGATGAAATCATTTGTGTTTATTGTTTGAAGTGGTAAACATGAATCTCTTGGAAGCAGCATCCCAAAGGAAATGGTCTTAATCCTCCCCCCCCCCCCCCCCTCCAGATGGTTCAGGGTATGTGGAAGATGGGCGAGAAATCTTTGATGATGATGCTGGTGAGGATGATTTGTTTGTTGGCAAAAAGGCGAAAAAAGGTGGAAAACGCAAGGAAGCAGGTGGCAAGGCCTCTACAGGGTCTGTTGGGCGGCAAGGAGCAGGAAACATTAAGAATATGCTCATCAACATGCCAGCGAAAAAGAAGAGAGCTGAAGTGAGTGGATTTTGTGTGTTCGTTGGTTTGTTTCTTTGTTTTGGGGAAGTGAGTATTACTGTTTATCAGTTCTTGGGTCAGTCTATATATAATAGCTTTCCATTTTCATACCTTAATGACTTAAAAAATAACAACAACTTGTAGTATACTTTTTGTTCTTGTATCATTGTATATACATGCTTTTCTGGAAAAAGATACCTTAAGTTCTATGAGTTTTCCTTTCTTTTCATGATTTTTTATATTTTATATATCTTACTCTTCTCTCTTTTCTACTCATATCTCACTTATGCTCTTCCTCCCTTATCACCCGTTTCTTTTCCCCATTTCTTTCCCACTCTCTTTATAGCCTCCCTCTTTTTCCTTTACAATTTTCTTCCTTTTCCATTTCTCATTTCTCTCCACTCCCTACCCTTCCAGCCTCTCTCTCCTCCCTTTTTCCTTTTCTTTTCTCCTCACTCTGTCTTCACTACTTCCCCTTTCCTTCTCTTCTCTTAGACTCTCCTCAGCCCTTCTTTCCTTCCTGTCTCTTTCATAGTCCTTTTCACAGCTTCTGTAGCTTTTCATCTCTCTTCTACCTCTCCTCCCAGATTCCCATCCTCATTCCCCATCCTTTCTCTGTTCTCTTTCTCTTGTATTTCTTTCTTCCTTGTTTTTCTCTTTCTTCTATTTTACTTTGTCCTCTGTTTGCTTTTTTTTCCCTTTTTCATCTTTTCTCCATCTTTTGTCCAATTTCTTCTCCTGGCTCCCATTATCTTTAACTTTTCCTCGTGTCATTCTTTCTCATACCTATGTCTTCCCTCATTTAATTTTCTGGTAATTAAAGTTAAATCCCATAACATCTATAATATATATATTTTACCATCAATGTCACCATTGGTCCCTTAGATAATTTTAACATTTCTCAATCTCTTCAGACTAATATCCGCCTGGATGATGATGAACTACTGGGAGACATCCTGCAAGACCTTGATAAGGAGTCTGACACCATCCGGCCACCAATGCCAACATTGCTCAAGAAGAAGGTGCCAAAACCTCCTAGTGCGGCACCTGTCAATCCTTTTGCCAGACCACAGGTGACTACTCCAGTGCGAGTGAAGGCCTCGCCCAAACCCTTGAAGCCGAGAACCATTTCAGAGGAGAATGTGGTCAATGGGACATCACCGAAGGTAAGTCTTTTTCCTTTTTATTTCTTTTTGGTCTGTATTGACTTTGGTATACTTTGTTCTGCCTTGTATATAGAGGTGAATGTGCTTAATGGGAAAGTTATGGACTACTAATTGTCGTTGTCATTGTCATTATCATATTTTTTATCTGTATTATTGTTACTATTGCTATTTTGCTTTCTTTTTGCTTAAATGCTAATTTCTTCAACAGGCCAAAAGATCTCTGGAGGTGAAGGAAGAGCCTCTCTCAGAGCAGATTGATGAGTTTGATTCCATGGATGTTATGGATATGGACTTTGATGATGAAGATGTAGAAAATGTAAGTATCATTTAGTTTTATGATGATGTGTTCTTAGAATTTTCTTCTCATTTTTAGGTGATTGAAGGGAAATGAAACAGTATCTGCTTTTGTCTTTAAAAGGATGAATGTTATTCTAATCTTAATGAAAGCTGAAGTTAGCAATTGTAAGATTTTAATTACTAATTGCAGATGGAGGCAATGCTAGTCAATGAAGAGAAAAAAGCTGCAATAAAATTGGAAAAGGAAGAGCCAAAAGAAGAGCTGAAGGAAGTGAAGGAAGAACCACAAGTGAAAGAAGTGAAAACAGAAGTGAAAACAGAACCAAACAGAGGATTTACTGCCAAGTGGGTAGAGAAAAAATAGATATAATCACATTTTTTTTAGTGTTGCAAATATTTCCATCCATTTTATGTCTTTGCAAATTTCCTCTTAAATCAGAATTATTGGAAATCTAACAGAGAACCATCTTCCTCAGGCCAAAGGTAGATGTTGCTCAAGTCACAACTGGCTGGGAGACTGTTAAGGGGGAAGTAAAGGATGCCAGCATTATGCAAGATGTCCAGATTGATGCTTCTAAGCTACCACTGACCACCAACAGTGAAGGAGAGCAGGTACCTATTATGATTTATTTGTTTATTATTATTGTTGTTGTTGTTGTTGTTATTGTTATTATTATTGTTATTATTGTTATTATTATTATTGTTATTATTATTATTATTATTATTATTATTATTGTTATTGTTATTGTTATTATTATTGTTATTGTTATTGTTATTGTTATTGTTATTATTGTTATTATTGTTATTATTATTGTTGTTATTATTATTATTATTAGTGTTAGTGTTGTTTCTGTTATTATTATTGTTATTGTTATTATTATGATATTACTATGATACTATTATTTATTATTATTTTTATTATTAATAATAACTATAACTATAACTATGATAATAATAATAACTAATATTATTATTATTATTATTGTTATTATTATTATTATTATTATTATTATTATTATTATTATTATTATTATTATTATTATTATTATTATTATTATTATTATTATTATCATCATTATTATCATCATTATTCAAGTTTTTTGCCATAGATTTATAGATTTTTTAAAGCTTAGTTCTATTGATTGAACGTAAGATAATTTTGTTAGAAAATTGATGATCATCATACCAAAATTGAAGATTTATAACAAGCACGAGTAATTTTTGCTCAGGATTTATGAAAAGCATAAAAGCTAAAGAAAATATTTATCCTGCAAATGCTACTTAATTAATTAATTCTTTGATTTATTTGCTAATGTCTTAATTATAAACATTGCATATCCATAATACATTTAAAATGTAATTCCACCAGGTCCTCCGATTTTATTGGTTGGATGCCTATGAAGACATATACAAACAGCCAGGAACAGTGTATCTGTTTGGTAAGGTTTGGATTGAGTCGGCACAGACCTACACAAGCTGCTGTGTTGCAGTCAAGAATATTGAAAGAAGAATTTATATACTTCCTCGTAGAAAGGTAATTCAGCTGTGAATGCATTTTGGTCCTTTCCTTCTTTTCCTTCTTTTTTCTTTTCTTTCTTTCTTTCCTTTTTTCTTTCTTTTGTTTCTTTTCTTCCTTTTCTTTCCTTTCTTTTTTTCTTTCCTTCCTTTTTTTTCTTTCCTTCCTGCTTTTTTATTTTTCTTCCCTCTTTATTCCTTTCCTTCCTGCTATTTTTCTTTCCTTCCTGCTTTTTTTCTTTCCTTTCTCTCTTTTCTTCTTTCTTTTTTCCTTCCTTCTTTCTTTTTTCCTTCCTTCCTTCCTTCCTTCCTTCCTTCCATCCATCCATCCATCCTTCCTTCCTTCCTTCCTTCCTTCCTTCCTTCCTTCTCACCTTCTTTCTTTCTCATTTTTTTTCCTCCTTTTTTTTCTTTCCTTCTTTCTTTCTCTTGTTTTTTCTTTCTCTTCTTTTTTCTGTCTCTTCTTCCTTCCTTCCTTCCTTCCTTCTTTCTTCCATTCTTTCTTTCCTTTGCTCTGTAGGATTCTATACATTTATCACATAGACGTATCTAAATCATAGGATACAGGAGATAAGCAATCAAATTCAAATCACACCTGTATCCACAGCGTATGGACCTAAAGACCAAAGAAGAGTCGGAGGACCCTGTAGGCATGATGGACGTCTACCAAGAATTTAACTCGAATGTTGTCCAGAAATACAAAATTTTGGAGTTCAAGAGTAAGAAAGCGAAGAAGAACTATGCGTTTGAAAAGTTTGAGGTTCCCAATGAAGCCGATTATTTAGAAGTCCGATATTCAGTGAGTATTTTTCATTTATTTAATTGCTGGATGTCATTGTTACTATTTTTGTTAGTATGATTATCATTATTACTTTATGTTATATATGTTTATTTTCCTTATGCATTCACTTTGCCTATTGCAAAGCTGTTATATGATCTGTTTTGTTCATCATAAAAATATATAAAATCTTTACAGGCCAGTCTACCAGCCCTTCCATCAGACATTTGTGGTGAAACTTTCAGCCATGTGTTTGGTACGAATACCTCCCCCTTAGAAATTTTCCTTTTGGACCGCCGGATTAAAGGACCATGCTGGTTAGATATCAAATTCCCACAGTTGCCTTCACCAGTTGTCTCCTGGTGCAAAGTTGAGGTAAGAATTTATTTTATCAAAAGTATTTGCATGCTGTTAATTGTCTGTATATTTTAGTTCTTATTTGTTTTTCTAGTATATTTGTAATTGCCATTGGGAGCTTAGGAGAATTTGCTTTCTGAAATGCTAAAATTTTCTTTTGTGGTACATCATCTTATGATGCATTGCAGGCTGTAGCTGTCAAACCAGATCATGTATCTGTTGTGGCTGGTCTGGTTCCTCCTCCAGTTGTGGTGATGACAATGGGCATGCGAACCACTGTCAACCCCAAGACTCACCAGAATGAGATTGCAATGGTGTCTTGTCTGGTTCATCAAGAATTTCCTCTTGACAAGGCAGCACCACAACCACCCTTCCAGTTGCATTTCTGTGGTAAGTTAATGAAGTTCTCCAATTTTTAAGTACATGAAGGTGAAAACTAATTCCAGAGATAGTCTTAAATGAAAAAGAAACAAAGAAAAGCTTTTAATCTTCAATTTTTTTCCCTCTAGCAATGTCACATCCCTCTGATGTTACATGGCCATGGGACCTGAAGGATGCTTTGCCTAGATACAGGTCGACTAAGATTGAGAAAATGGAAACAGAAAGAGCTCTCCTGGGATTTTTACTGGCCAAGATCCACAAAATTGATCCAGACATTGTGGTTGGCCATGATATTTACGGGTTTGACCTTAACGTCCTGCTTCATCGTGTAAATGCCAACAAGATTCCACACTGGTCCCGTCTTGGTCGTTTAAGGCGTACACAGATGCCAAAGTTAACCGTGGGTATTTAGGTCATTTGTTTTAATTTGTGTGATATATTTTATTTACTGTTTTGAGAAATGATCATAATAATTGATCTAGAGAACAATTTTTCTCTGTTGTTATCTTAGTCCCAGATTTTGATTTCTTCAATTCTTATTAATTTTTCTCATGTAACTTTTTATAGGGTAGAGGGTTTGCCGAGAGGTCAGCCATGTGTGGTCGTTTAGTATGTGATGTAAAACTTTCTTCGATGGAACTCATAAGAGCCAAAAGTTACGAACTTGCTCCTTTGGTGAATCAAGTTCTACGCATTCCAGAGAGTGAATGCAAGACTTTGACAGTGGATGAAGTCAAGAAGATGTATGAGTAAGTATTGTTCTTCAAGCGTGTCATTTTGTCTTAATGTAAAATTTTCATTATTTTTTGTTGAGTGGCAAAGAAATGGAAATTGTGTTGCTTTGAGTGCTGGAATGAATATAATGGTAATGCGAATGTCCAGGCATACAAATTTTCCCTATATTTATATTGATAACTTTTGCAATCCAGATCATCATCATCATTACTTCAGCTTGTAACAATGACAATGCAAGATGCGTC